TGCGCGACAAAGGTGAGGGGGGCTCGCTGTGGGACCCTCTAGATCCCGCTGTGGGACCCGCTGTGGGACCCAGTGTGGGACTCGGTGTGAGACACCATGTGGGACCCGCTGGGATCCGCTGTGGGACCCGCTAGGTCCTGCTGTGGGACCCGCTGTGGGACCCAGTGTGGGACCCGCTGGGATCCGGTGTGGGACCCTCTAGATCCTGCTGTGGGACCCGATGTGGGACCCACCAGGTCCTGCTGTGGGACCTGCTGGGACCTGCTGTGGAACCCTGTGCAGCACTGTAAGGAGACAGGTTCTGGCCTCCACCTCGGTCACTGGGAGTTGCCTGTCTTTTGTGCTGGGGGTAATAAATGGGCAGTGCTATGTTAAGTATTTTTTTCTCTTCTGCAGCTTGTGGTGTTCTGGCTATTGACAAGGCCAGGGAACCCATCACCTTGGTACTGGCAGAAGATGGGACCATTGTGGATGATGAAGATTACTTCTTGTGTTTGCCAGCTAACACCAAGTTTGTGGCACTGGCCAAGGACGAGAAATGGTCCAGCAAAAGCTTAGGTATGCTATGAGTGAGGAAGCATTGAAGGGGAGGTGTGTTTGGAATACACCTAGTGACATTAGGCAGGCTCAGGTGATCAGGAATGACCTGTGAAACTGGTGACTCTTGTGTCAGACAGTGGAACATCCTGGCTCTCGGAGTCTGTGGATGAAGTGGACAGTGCTGCCGAGAAGTGGAAGCAACTGGCCAGGCAGCTGAAGGATGACCTGTCCAACATCATCCTGATGTCTGAAGAAGACCTCCAGGTACAGTGGGGAAACCCCCAGTCCCTGTCCTTGCATCTGCCCATCATCCATTTATCTCAGTAGAGAAGAGACTCAGTAAACAAGAGTTCAGGCTTAATTCAGCTGCTGCTTTTGGCTCTTGGTGTCAAACTTCTCCTTGAAGGGAAACATTCAAGTGTCCAAGGATGCTTTTAATCCCCAACTGTCCTTCACAGTGTGTTGTTCCAGTTCTGGCAAAAAGTTGAGATTTGGCCAAATGGCAACTCATTCCTTAAAGCCAGACACATATTATGCAAAACCACCACCCCTGTGTAACATGTCCAGAGGGGAGGCTGAGCAGCAGGCCAGGTCTGTCTGCTCCAGAGGGGTTTGAAGAACTGCTGTCACTTTCCAGAGCTGATTGATTCAAGTTTCTGACGGCTTAACACCTTGTCTGTGGTGAGGCATGGCAATAACTGTCCCTTCTTGTTCTCCCCAGTGTGCAGCCTCCCAGGTGCCAGGCTACTGCCTTTCCTTTGAATATTTCCATGCAATGTGAAGTAGTGCTTTGCCATTAGTTTTCAAGATTTCTGTTAAAATTGCACATGATTCCACATGATTCTTGGGTGCCTTTTGGCTTTTAGTAAAAAAATGCTGCCTGGTGGAGTGCCACTACAGCCTCTTGCAACTCAGGGGATTTGCCATGACAAGAAACCTTGTGGAACACGCTTGGTTTCAGGAGGATTTGTACATTCTGTTTGTACTGCAATAAGTGCCAGTAAATGAGTTACTCAGGAGCCCTCTCAATGTTTTAAGGTGCTGATTGATGTGCCATGCTCAGACCTAGCAGAAGAGCTTGCCCAAAGTGAAACCAAAGTGCACGTGCTGCAGGACACCCTGCAGCAGGTGCTGGACAGACGAGAAGAAGAGCGTCAGTCAAGGCAGCTCCTAGAACTCTACCTAGAGGCCTTGAAAACTGAAGACAGTATCTTAAGCAAAGTTGCAGGTAGGGGGCATTTGTATGCTAGAGAAGGAAGTTTTCAACTCCTAGCTGAGTGGAATAAATAAAGTAGAATGAGTAATTTGATCAGCTGTTGTTAAATGGGGTTGATACAAGAGCAGTTGTGGTGTATATAGTTCAAGAATTCTCTGACCAGAGAGCCTCTCACTGCTGTGTCACATTTCTCACAAAGCCTGAAGCAGAATACTGGGAAAAAAGCTTAGATCCTGGAGTCTTCCTTAACATTATGGATTTAAGTTCCAGCATGCACCTAAATTGGATGTATATTTTATTAATCTCACAACCATCAAAGCAGTCCAGGCCACTTTTCCTGTCCTGTTTGTGGGCTGTACTGAGTCTGCTCCTTTTCAGAACCTGAGGCTGCACCAAGGAAGGAGATGGATGTGGTTGACACAGGTACCAGCAGCACAGATACTTCAGCCACAACAGCACTCAGCGGCCAGGTCCTTGCTGCTCTGAAAGAGAAACGTGCTCCAGAGCTCTGCTTGGACAGTCAGGATCTAGAGGTGCGTGAGAATGACACAAACCATGTTCTGGCAAAGCTCTCCCTCCAAAAGAGAGGCTATAGGGGAAGCTGTCCTTGCTTCGGGAGGCTCTGATGTCAGTAGATCGTTTCAAAGTGCTGAAATTTAATTAATTTCACTTCCTCAGTAACACTACCCCTGACTTGGAGCTCCTCTGTAATAGACATTGGTCCACACACTCTGCTCTGTCCTCTGAAAAGCCACAAAATAATGTTGGGTTTAGTCTCTGACAAATCAGTCAGGTGTCTTACCAGCAAGGTTCTTTGGGGTTTTTTTTTTATGGTTGTGCATCTTGGTATGTCTCTTTTATAAATCCCAAATCAAAATAAAACGTCCTTATTTTGGAAAAAACTGTAAATATAGATCAGAAAGGAAAATCTAGATAAACTGTAACCATTTAGGAAGGTGTTCTTTCAAGCTGTGAACTTGCTACTCTTGCTTTTCCCTGCTCTAGAAAGTAACTGCTTTCTCTTCCTTTGAACGCCTGAACAGAGCTTCAAGCATTGAGTGTTTGCAAATTGCTGGGAACATCTCCAGTTCCAAAGTGCCTGGTTCCTGCTGTTGTTAATTCAGCAGAGGGTTAGTGCCTGAGGAGTCAGCAGAAAAGTCTGTTAACAATCTGTCTTGCTGCAGCTGGTGTTGAAGGAGGACGCAGCAGCCCTGGCCTCGGCTCTGGGATGGGACGAGCAGAAAGCTGGAGCTCTGCAGGAAGCCTGTGAGCAGGAGCTCTCCAAGCGCCTCAGACAAGTGCAGACTCTGCACTCCCTGCGCAGCACCTCCAAGGGCAAGAAAGCGCTTCCCTGGGGGGACTGGCCCAGTGCAAAACGCAAAAAATAGGACTGCATTGCTGTTGCAGTTTAGGTTTTGCTTTTGCATTAGGATCGATACAAGCAAAGACACATCCTGGAACCACAGTTTGCTGGTCATACTGTGGTCTGGCTACAGAACATCTGAAATCTGGACATTGTCCTGAGGCTTAAACTCCTCTGGTGATCTGAATTGTGTAAGCAAAGGGATTCTGGCTTTTTGCAGAATGCTAGAACAATGGTATTGCTAAGCACAGCATGTAAGTGTTCAGCTTTCAATACCTGGTTGGTAGCCAGCAGCTTCCATCTGATAATGGTGGACACAGCTCCTGAAGCCCCAGGCAGTTTGCCTGCTTTGTTCTCCCACCATTTTCAGTGTAAAAAGGATGGAGGCTCTCTGGAAGACACTTTGAGGCACAGTCAGCGATCAGGACAGTGGGGATAGCCAGCTGCTGCCTGGCTTTAAGCTCCTGTCTGGGATCTAGGAACTTGAATTCTCACACTGATTTAATCAGTTAAAGTAAATTCAAAGTCCTTCAACTTCAGTGCTTTTTCTGTAAGGAACTTCTGCCTCTTGGATGCGGTGTAAGAACTATCATGTAAAACACAGCAAAGGTGGAAATAATTGCTTTGTAAGGCTGTGTGACAGAAGACTTGCATTTGGCCTGCTGTGTTATTCTCCTAATCTTTAGTGCAGCATCATGATGCTTTTGTATTAACTGGCTTATTTTTAAATTTGTTAAAAGTCTTTTTTCTAACATCAATAAAACCTTTTTATCTTACTGTTGGACTAGTTTTGATATTTTCACCAGCTGCTATAATTAAAAGACTGGGCTGATAAATACAGTATTACCTTAAGGAAAGAGGATGAAGAAATTGAACACAGAAGTACTGTCTTTAACTTAGACAAAGTGTTTAGGCAAAATGTGTTCATCATGGTGACTGCACCTGAACTCTCACCTGGCACAATCTGCTCTTCTTGTGTGAGAACAGAAAATGTATATGAAAAACATCTGACAAGTGTGATGAAACTTCTGAGAAAGTTTTAGTAGGTACAGATGTGTTATGTAGCAGCATGCTAAATCCTCTGATCTAACACAGCTTTAAATGGCCCAGGGTAAGTATTCCTACAGCACATGTTCAGGTGAACTCGTTGCATGCAACAGTTCAGCTTAATTATGGCACAGTTAGAGTTAGACAGTACAACTAATAAATATTCTAAACAGTTCAGTAATTTTAGGCCAATAAACAAAACTACTCAGGCTACCTTCAGGTGAAGCTACCCAGATGGGAATTTGCTAGACTTAGGGGAGAAGCTCGCAGGCAACTTTTTATCTGTTTTGCTTCTGCCAATATTCAGATTGTAACCTTACAGGCCGTGGCAGGTAAAAAGGTTTCCTGGTGTTAGAATAAGTACTTACTGCGCGCTTTTTTTCTTGCAGTCTTTCTGCAATCACATGGATGGCTGTGCTACCCCTGGAAATCCACTTCTTTGACTAATTATTTGCATTCTTTGTACAGTTCATTTGCACTGAGTAAAGCTCTGCCAATGGGATCCCTGCAGCCATGGTGCCACCTGAAAATGGGAATTATTGACAGTGACAACTGCACCCCTGCAGTGCCACAGGGGGGGAACCACACAAAACAAGACAACGAGCGAGAGATGGCTTAGTAAGAACAAAATATTCAAAGTGTCTGAGCAAAAATAGCAAAACTGGAAGCAAAGAATAAGTTGAAGAGAAATTTTTACTAAAGAAAGTAGCAGAATGAAGGGTATTGCACATGCTGAGTTGTGCAGTGAGAATGGTCTATTTCAAATTCTTTAAAGTATTTCAATTTTAATAACAGATACCTTTTGTGAGCAATTAAGGCACTTTGGCTGTAAGCTTACTGAATTCTGACAGACTTTTCAATTTTGGAACAGCAAAAATCTAATCACATTAACCTGAAAAGCTAAGGATTCATTACTGGAGCCAACCTACAAGATGAATAGGCTCATTCTGGTCCCTCTAGGAGAAAATGACCTGAAACTTTACTCAAAAGACAAATCATGCCATGTTGGAATCTTCATTTTCAGTCACAGCTGCTTCTTGTTCCCCAGGAGTTCTCTCTCCCTTAGCTGCACTGGACTTCTTTTTCTTCTTCTCCTTCTGCTCCATGTTACTTGATGCAAGCTCTTCACTCTTCTGAGTGATATATTTTAGCTGGGAACAATAAGCTAATCAGTCCTCTACTGAGGAATTTCATTAACTCACAAGACATTCAAAAGAAATACTGACGAGAAATTAACAGGGCAAATTCTTATTACAAGAAAAATGAGAGACTCCAAAAAACATTTACTTTGTCTTCTCAGGCAAGTTTGTGTTGTGTATTTCAAATCATATATGGAAGGAAAAAATCTCCTAACATTAAAACAAAATTAGTACTGGAAGCATTTTTCATAGATCAACATACAGGCATGTTTTAACAGATTAGTGAGTTTTATCCACTGAACATCATATAGGTCAGCACAGGAGGGAATACAATGATCCTGTGATCCCTGTATTAATGTTGGGAGACTCAGCACCTTGAGGCAGACTCAAGCTATTCCTGACCTTAGCCTAGAACAAAGAAACACAACATCAGGAAAAAGGAAAGTGATTCATGATGCTGTGTCTGCTTATTGCACTTTTGAACTTGGAACTTCAGCAGCCATGGTGCAAGGAGAGCACTGCTGCTTGAACTGCAATGAGATCTGTGTTACAACACAGGGAGGCAGAGTGGCAAGAAGCAAAATAGGATGAAAATTTAAAAATCACTGGGTTGTGCCTATCTACCTCAGAAGACAGTGAAATTGCTTATGCAACAGTTGCTGCAACATGTAAAACCTTCATTCAAATGAACTGAGGAAAATTAAGGAATTAAGTTAATTTTAGGAATTAACTGGTTTAAGAATGTTGCGAGACAGAAAATGCAATGCATCTCACCAAAGAATTGCTTCTTCTGGCCAAAAGCTTCACATCTTCTGTAGTGACTGTGGTTCGTTTTGCATGCCTGCATAACATCAAAAAACACTACTTAACATTTTTGACAACATCGTAAGAGGCCAAGATCAAAAAGTACCTACAGAGAATTTCTATTTCATAACTTCACACACTATTTAAGTAGCCAACCAAGCCCTTTAAAAGCTTGAATTACAAGCTGTGTTTTAAAGATTACCTAGGAACTAACACAAAAAAAAAAGGAAAGCCTTTGTAACAATCAGTGCATACCTTGCAAACATTTCAAGGTCTTTTGCAAAGATTTCTAGAGAAAACACAAAGATGTCATATATTTTAAAACACTGAGTGGGAAGAGATACACAATACACAAGTTATCCAAGTCAGTTATGAGAAGAGACCATAGCTGGCTATTAGACACCACTCGTACACAAGCACGTAGCCACACAACACATCTAAATGCTTTTTTCAGGTCTGAAAATTCGAACTAGTATTTCTTGTACTTAAAAAAAAAAAAAAAAAAATATATATAACGCAAGAGAATGCCGCGGTGAGACCGAGTTGGGCGCTATTATTTTTGGAGGCCTGTGCCTCCAGCGATGGCTGCTGAGCAGACACGGAACGCGGCGGTAACCCAGGTAACAGGAGGAAGCGGAGGAAAGCCCGCTGTACCGCACTGCCGGAAGGTGATCTCCGAGATGGCTGCGATGGTCTGTTTGCTGAACTGCACGTCCTTGTCCTCCTCCACCTCCTGGCACAGGCACCCGACCGTGTAGTGAACCGCCGCCTTCAGCCTCTGCAGGGAGCAAGGCAGGGGCCGGCAGTGACACACCGGCCTCGCCCCAAACACCAAAGCCCGCTCACGGCCGCCGTGTGCCGCCCGGTACCTGTGCGAGCACCTGCTGCTCCTCGGCGCCGGCCGCCGCCATCGCTGCCCTCACGATTTCCCGCCCGCCGCGCGCGGGGCGGGGCGGGGCGGGGCCGCCATCGCTGCCCTCACACCGTCCCGCCCCGCTGCCATCGCTGCCCTCACACCGTCCCGCCCCGCCGCCATCGCTGCCCTCACGATTTCCCGCCCCGCTGCCATCGCTGCCCTCACACCGTCCCGCCCCGCCGCCATCGCTGCCCTCACGATTTCCCGCCCCGCTGCCATCGCTGCCCTCACACCGTCCCGCCCCGCCGTCATCGCTGCCCTCACGCTTTCCCGCCCGCCGCGCGCGGGGCGGGGCCGCCATCGCTGCCCTCACGATTTCCCGCCCCGCCGCCATGTCGAGCCCGCCCCTGGCCGTGAGGGGACGCGCGGCCGCTCCGAGAGCCGCCGTCGCTGTCACCCGCGTTTGTCTCGCCGAATCCCAAATCTCACTGCATCATCTCCAGAAAAGGTACCTGCGACTGAAAGTTACGTTATACCTCATAAAGATATTCTGCTAATGACTAATAGCTGTCCTGGCAGGAATATATATGGCCAAAAATTAATATAAAAATCAGAGTGCACAGCACAAAATTTAACAGTGTTTGAGAAATAAGAAGGTTCAGACACACAGGTGACTTTTTAGATGTCGTGAGGATGACTGGCAGTAGCATTGCTGGGAGAGGATATAAAATAGAGACAACGTTGCATGTTGCTGTGGGTATTTTTAATTGCCCCGGTGGAAGAAGAGGCAAAGAATCAGGGAGATTTGGGGGGAGAAAGTGCAAGCACACAGCAATGCAAAGGGTTTATGGTAGAGCTTAAAACGGAGAAAAACAGCTGGAGGGAGAATGGTGACAGGAGCATGAGTTTTGTTTCTCCATGACCCATCCCACCAAAGGCACAGAGCCCAGTGTGACAGCCTGAGCACCTGAATGCCCAGGAATTAAATCTGTAAGAGCCAAACTGCTGCCTGTTAGGAATAAACCATGGCAACAGAAGAAAGGCCTTTATCTGCCCAGAACCTTGCATAAGTTCCTGTGCTGTCTGCCACTCTCCATCTCAGCAATTCCTGAACTGCAGTCATCTCTTGTCTTGATCCCTAGGAATTTATGCACTACAATACTATAAACCTAACAGGACTATAAATTATTTTAAAGACTGCACAATAACATTTTACCTAGTTTTGGCCAGCACCAGTGGAAAGAAAACACCTCAATACATTTATAACTAAATTTATTTAGTTATTTAATATGATACATATAGAGAGATATAACATATAGGTATGAAATACACCCCCAAGTTATTACAAAAGTGTCCAAACACAGGTTCTAGTGGAGTACAGTAAAAAGTGATATTCTAGAAGAAATGTTGGAGATCTACAGTATCTGGGCTCCAAGTGGAAGTATTTCCATTAGACATTGTAAGCAGAAGAGGACACATTTCCTCCATGGCCTGTCCAGTTAGTATGGATAAATACCCCTGGCTTTGATAATAATTCATATGTATGTGCACCAAAGTAATCACGCTGAGCCTGGAATGAGAACACACAGACAAACCAGACACACAAATGTCAGTATCATATGAGTTCTAGAAGTTGTACCTACTGTTACCTAAGGAGGAATAACAGAAGTAAGACTGGACTCCAGTATTATAACACTCAAAATTATTATTTTCATTATTAGCAAAACCACTGCAACAAAAAATGTACTAATAATTAAATTAAGAGTTCTGCAGAAATGCAAGTAACAGGATTTCTGCTTGGTACTAATCTAAAAAACAAGCACTTGCATACATCCAAACATTCAAAGATACTTCTCTACAAACCATTTGGGTTCAAAGATATCATTACCCTTGGTTCACAGATGGAATTCAAACACACAGGGCACTGCTGTACCAGTACCTCTGGTGTTCTTTATCCAGCTGTCTCTAAGTGTTTCACTGATGTGAATTTCAGGTACGACAGAAATATATTAGGCAATCTGTACTGTGAATGATTAGGACGTATTGCTATTGAGACCTTTACAGCAATGTTTAAATAACAGCATGATGAGATTTCAGTACCTACCTGAATCAGGTTGGCTGGCAATATCTCAAGCCTGTATCCATCATAAAAAGAAAGTGCTGTGGTGAAGCAGGGCATAGGGATTCCAATCTGCACACCGGTACTGATCACACGGCGCCAGGACTCCTGGGAGAGAGGAAAAGAGGGGGGAAAGGAAAGGGATCAGTGCTCACTCACAGGTACGTGCAGGCACTCTAACTACTCAGTACAACTGTGGGTGCTCTTTCACATTCTGTGAAATCCAATAACTAAAGCTGAGCAAATACAGCAGCAGGTTCCTGACTTTACATAAACAAGGTTGATCTAAAATAATGGCAGGTAAGACAGGGTTAACAGCAGAATGAGAATAGTTGAGACATGCAGTCAAACCACAGCCTCAAGCAAGGATGCTGTTCTTTCACATAAACATCTCAAAAGCATGAATTCGGTGGGGAACAGGGAATGTTCTGAGCTCTGAGGCACTTCCAGCACCTCTCACCAAGCACAGAACAAAGCTTGCCCAAGGGCCTAAGAGGGCAGCACTGACGCTTCAGACACACATGGATAATCAATCCTCAGTTCAACTGTTCATCTGGTCTAGTAATTTGCATAGAATATTCAGATTCAGTTACAAGAACTATTAATGATAATATGAGGCTTCTTTTTGGCCAGATAACGTGGTTTTAATTCCACCCATCAGCTCCATCCAAATCAGGACAGTGTTTGCACAGACACAGGCCAAAAGAATGGGTGGGTCTGGAACTGTTGTTCTGGGGCTACTGCAAACAATGGTGCTGAACAGAGCTTTATGGTCTGCTCAGCTGAAATCCAACTGCACAGCAGGCACAAGGCACAGGGCAGTGAAGAGAATGTTCACACAGGCCAGGCCTTTTTTCCTCCTATTACGGTCCTTGTGAATTGCTGGATATCTGCCTAAGGCTCCTCTGTACCAGTAAAATGGGAACCTTCAGTTTCCAGTCATAGCTTGGTCAGTATCAAAGAGAAGAACCATGACAGTTGTAAATTATTGTTTTTATGCTCTCCTTTCCTGGGAACTTACCTGACAGTTTTCTACAGCTCTCTTAAAGAAATCATCCAACAGCAAATTCTGGAGCTCAGGGTTTCGATCAAATGCATCTTTGATTTTTCCCAGGAACACACTAGGCAAAAGTTAAGCAGGAATAAATGTCACAGCTCCCAACAAAGGCCCAGAATTCAAAACTTACAGTGCTAAAACTTGACTCAGCCAGACTAAGATTCCAAATATGACAAAGTCTAAAAAAATTTTCTGCAGTTAAGCCACCAGAATAGTGGGTTCATCTGGTAATCCTTGGTGTTGTCTACAGCCTCTCAGAATCTTAGCAGCAGAGTAACTCCATGGATTTTCCAAGGAAATCTCTGGGCTTGTCAGCCAAGCACCTCATAAACTAAACTGCCTGCTCGTCTCCCCTCAGCAGCCAGGTTACTCCCTCATCTCAATTACCTTCTGATGATGCAGCCTCCCCTCCACATCAGTGCAATACCCCCATAATTTAGTGTCCAGCCAAATTCTTTGGCTGCTTGTCTCAGCAGCATGAAGCCTTGAGCATATGAGATAATCTTGGAAGCATACAGGGCCTAAAAAAAAAAAAAAAATCAAATTTACGTTCCAAGAGAAGTCTCACAAAGTTGAACAACAAACTTCACGGGATACCTACTCTGTTCAGCCCACATCTCAACAGGGATGAGTACAGTAGCAACATTCCAGTTATTTGAGAACCAAAATAGCCTTTCTCATTGGAAAGTTTGGTTTCAACAGAGAGAGATCAAGAGAGCAATACCAAGCAAAGGCAGGAGTGTTGAGGGGTGAACAAGCTCCTGTGCATGAATTATGATTTCTGTGCCCCATGTAGTTGACTCTGCCCCCTGTGGCTTAGAGTTGAATTCCTTCTGGATCCTTCCTAACCTTCCTTTGGTTAGGAATGGATCACATTATGCTTTGTGGGCATCACGAGACAATGCACAGTGCTGAAAGCAGGAACCAGTTCTCATGAAATACGAACACAAGAGCTCCTCCCCAGGTTCACAGCGTCCCAAACCTGCTCTAACCCTGCACGAGGACTCACCTTGCGGATATCCTCCAGGAAGGCCTTCTTGTCCCCACGGAATTGGGTCATTTTGGGCCCTTCCAGCAGCTTACTGGCCTGCACTCTCTCATTCTTGAGGGAAGACAGGCACCGTGCAAACACAGCTTCACCTTTGGGTATGGCAGCAAAGAGGAGATCATTTGAGAGCTGGGCATCCCTGTTCAGTCTGAGATACTCAAGCACCAAGGAGTGTCACTGAGCCATGTACACAAGCGAAATAACTGGGGCACAAATTAATTATTCCAACAGCACTCCTGAGCGGCAACACTGCCACTCAGCACTACCATTGGGTAAGTCTTGACTGATACAGCTTTCAAATGATAAAGAAAAAAGCCACAAGTCATCCATATGAAAATTTATCCTCAGGAACATTTACCAGCTCTCAATTTTGATAATTTACTTTAAAATCTTTTCCTATCTATCAGAGACAGATGGTGTTGCACTGCAATCTAGGGAACAGCGAGGCTGAAGATTTCACCAAGTACTGTATCATGCTTTTAAGATAAAAAGCTCTTCCTTAAATGCCATCTTACATTAAATGGATGGGCATTAAAATGCACACATACAAAATAAGGGCAATTAAAATCAATAATAAATCAGCAGGTTAACTTGTAAAATGAAATAAGACTCATAAATCTGGTAGTATTCAGAAGTCCGTAAGAATGTTTTCTAACATCACTAAATATCATCTTCAGGCTTGCTCAGTGAGTTCCTAATCAAGCTGGTTTAAGCTGTACTTGTTTGCAATTGAAGACAGTATTGTAAAATGAGGGAGAAAAAAGTTTGCTTTTCAGGGTCTGACAGAAGGAGAAGCAAGCCTTCATACTATCATTTGTTCCATCCTTTGAGTTGTGACATATCCAAAAAAAAACCAAAAAAA